CACAAAACAGATAAGTCTTACATTCGAACATATCACAAAGCAGTCAATAAATCTGTTAAAAAGCACTATTAACCCATTCCTTCAATAATTAACCCCCTCTTTTTCTCATTCAAATCACACTTACTTTTAAAATAAATACTACGGCTACAAAAGACCTTTAAAAAATGTTTCTTCCATCCCTAATTCTCGGTCCATACTTTCAAGCACAAGTTGGTTCAGAGGCTTACGACTGTGCTTTACAGAACAACACCCTAACCCCACTTCATAACACTGCGCTACAAACTGGCTGTCCGAGAAAAAGACAATGTTTCTTCACCGCTCTTCGCAGCAGGTCGTCACCGAACTGCTCGTTTTCTAAAACGTGAAACCGCCTTCCGCAGTCAACAGTAAAGTGTAAAGATTCAAATCTATCGCTGCCCTTCACCAAGAAGCAGTAACGCAACGCCCGGACATCCTCTGTTGAAATAGAACACCCCCAAAACACTCGCCCATACTAAAAAAACCTTGTCCTGATAGCTACTTAAAGAAAAAGAAAACCCAATAAAAAAAAATTATCACGACTTCGTCTCACTAAACTTGATTCTCTAGCAACAACGCAAGCGTCCGAATATGCAGTGGATAAAAATTAACTGTAATTAACAAGTACTTAAAAGTACGAAGAGCAAATGAATCAATGCAAGAACGTAAGATTTGACAGCCCCTCCCTCACTTTTTTCGCAGTGATCTCTGGAAGAGAACAGAGCACTTATCAATCCTACTAAGAGGATAAACCACAAAACTTCACAGAGGAAATTTATGGAACTGCAAATTTTCAAAACAACATGAGCGAGAAACCCAAATAATACACAAACAAGTTAAGAAAACAGCAACCCCTTTCTCGAACAGGTATTAAACACGTATCTGCATTATATACACACATTTTAATTTTCAAGTGCCACCATAAACAATTAGAGAAAGAGCAAAACAAAACAAAAATTATCAACGTAGTGTTTGAAAGGATGTTGTAAGAAGGATTAAAACATGTTTAAATACGACCAAAAATCTTATATTAATGACAAGCATAAAATGCTTTACAAAAATATATCGAAAAATCCAACTTTAAAATGGTCAACAATATACTCCATTGAGAAAACAAACATTATTTAGGATCGGAGCACTCAACAAATATAATATTAAAAAAAAAAAAAAACAATTCAGAGATCCAGCTGAAGGTCTGTCAAAATCAAAATCAAAAAAATAAAAAATAAAAAATAAAAAGAAGAATAAACAAATGAAGAAAGAAATCACAAGCAAACAAACTAGTGACTATAGAAAAAATTAATAGCCTCGGCCGCCCCATCCACCTTGTCCACTAGGCGCATTCCAAGGTTGGCCGCCTTGTCCCCAACCTCCTTGACCGCCTGAAAGTACTATGGATCAGTCATTACATGAAAGTTAGACGAAACTCTATTACGTATAAAGTAACTAACCACCTGATGGTGCACTTCCGTAGCCGGCTCCATAACTGCCGCCATAACCCCCTAAAATTGAGCAATTATAAAGCTATGCAATGAACAAATCCTACTCAGAATCGAATAACTATCTCTTACATACCAAATAACTTATAAAACAAACCATAATGAGGACCACGAGAACCGCCAGCTGGTCCCCACTGTCCTCCAGCAGGTCCCCCTCCATAACCAGCAGGGCTACTAGTTCCCCAACCTCCGCCTCCATATCCTCCTCGATCCGCGCCAGGACCCCAGCCACCAGGCCCACCAATAGGAGGTCCTCTCGTCCTGGCAGCTCTATCCATCCTTTCTCTTTCCTGTTGTTGTAGCTGAAGCACATGTACTTTAAAAGCGCAAATGAACAATCAATTAAAAAAAATATACGGCTCTCTTTCAATTTGGTGATTTCATCTGTCTTACTGGTTGTAATGAGACAAAGTCACATTTATTACAATTAGAATTCATTGACTTGTCTAGCTTAAAGTGAAATGAAGCCACCAAAATGAAAGAGCTGCAAGTGTTTGTAGCAAAAATTTGACGAAAAACTCACTTTTGCCATTTCTTCTTTACTTAATGCTTTTTTAACGTCACACCGGTAATTATTTATGACATGACTTTTAATCAAGACGCATTTGTCCACTGCATCATAATCATCAAAAGAGATGAAAGCAAACCCCCTAGGTTTGCCCGTATTTTTATCCGCTATTATTTCGACCTTAATACAACAAAAATAACTCTATAAACTGATAACTCGTTACGAAATTGCAGTTGGTTAAAAACGAAGTGATATTATTAACTGGTTTCTGACTGAAATAGATAAGGCTATGACACCTTGAGAACATTGCCGAATTTGTTGAAATGATTTTTGAACATTTCTTCCGTATGTTCTTCCCGAACGCCAGAAACGTATAGTCGTTTAGAAGACATTATTGCTTCACTTCTTTGTGACTGGTCACGAGGAACTGCTCGTTTCGGATCAACAGCTTTACCATCAATCATGTGAGGGCGGTGAGACATAGCATCATCTACCTAAAACTATGCAGAACTCCACTGCAAAAATCGAAATCGATTGCAATACCAATAGTTCTGAGATAGATAAGTCCTAGAACTTTATTTGGAAAGCTAGGAGCACACAAAAAATAATCTACCTCTGACTGTTTTGAATAAGTAATGAAGCCAAAGCCACGCGATCGTTTTGTACCTGGATCTCGCATCACAATACAGTCTAAGATTTTACCATATTGTGAATAATATTCTTTCAAATTCTCCTCAGTAGTAGAACTAGTTAAACCACCAATAAACATTTTGCGAAACTGTTCCGGTTCCATGTCACCAGCAGCACCCGTCTACAGTAACCAAGATTATAGGATCTAATCAACAAGCTTTTCAAAAAAGTAATCTCCATGAATTTTTCCGGTATAAAAGATAGAAAATCAATAGAGCATTTGAAAATTTCGAACAATAATTCTGCCGAAAAATTCTAAAATAGTCTCAAAGAAAGTACTAACGCCATTTTCCTGAGCGTTGACCATTGTTATATTTTTACACTTGCAGCTTCCACGATGCACAAGTCAGGATGGTGATGCCGTCCAAGACAAGACTGGTCTATAAAACAACTAAAAAGCAATGAAAAAAAAAGAAAAAAAAAACATGAAGAACAATGCGCACTAGAGGAAATTATGCGACTGTATATCCAGACAACTATATAAGATCAGGCAAATCAAGGTGCAAAATAAAACTGTTTACACATAAACCTAAGCAATCATATTTGTAACCGAACAACCCGTTATCTTACCGATTATACAACAATTTTTACTTCCAAACTAGTTCCAGAGTAAATTTAAAGAGAAAAGGCAAGCACTGCGAAATTTTGGCAAAGCAGTAATCCGTTGCATTCTACAGTTCAAAATAATACTGGCATCAAGTCTAGCCTTCAAAGATCGAAACTCGGGTCGCAGTAATCCATTACAGCAGCCGCACGGTACCTCGCCACCAATAAGAATGGAAAATATATTAGAAAACCAGGTAACTCTAAGGAATTCGAGGTAATCCTTTGAGTCAAAACTGTTATCGTTCCCAGAGATGTCCAATAAAATTATCTCATCTATGCGAAACAAACTATTTCGTACAAAGGAAACTACAGACTGTTCCTCTAGTGAATCGATAATTCTCTGGTGTACGAACGGAAAAAGCTAAAAATGCAACTACTATTTCGATTAAGCGTGAAATAAAATTTTTAATGCACAATTGGGTACTTAAAACTAGTACCAAGCAGGTGTTAAATTACTTCGAACTTCGAAGGAAAAAAAGAACTGCAACTGCCATTACCTAAGTTCACCGACAGCGCCAAAGTAGACTGTTCTGACCAGTATGGGGAATCTCGCATTCAAATAAAACTTTAATTATCTCTTTCTCTAGAAAAAAGTGACTTCTAAAAAACTACAATTTTCTAATTTGTGGTCGTCATATGTGGGCATTTCTTGGCCTTCAAAGCTCAAAAAGTGTTTATATTTGCGACACCATTTTGAAGCCACCTCTGACTCGTCTTCAATCGTCCTAACCTCATTTTATTTAACCAGAGTACTTAACACATTGCAAGATCCCCTGATCTTCTTCATGACTACTATTCACCAAATCTAGCCCCGGTAATTTGATACTCAACATACAAATGCAAAAAACACCATATAATTTCAACTTTTCAGCCTTTTGAGAAGAATTATACTTAAAAAAATATCCTTCGTCCATTCTAAAAGTTGAATAACTTTAAAAATTATCAATGCTCTTCACCAATTTTAAGCAAAATACTAGCGTTCAACATTTTCCAAAAAAGAAAGAAAAGAAAGAAATAATAACTATCTTTTCAGATATCATTTTAAGTAGAGTTCGTCGCAGTAATCCTTTAAGAGTTAAGCAAACAGTGATAGGAAAACGTGAACGTACTCTCCACCACAAACAAAAATTTAATAGGTGGATTTCTGAAACCCTACAGCACAACAAATTCTCTAAGCAATAATTCAGTCATTCTCAGCTAAACACTAGGAAATTCTCAAAAGCCCTCAAGCACCCCATTCTATTCTCCAAATTAGTTTCTCTAACAAACTCTTTAAAAAACCTCACTTTTAAAGACAGTTCCACAACGAACGTAACTCGTAAACGATATAGATGTACAGTAGATCCTACCAGAAACAAAATTTAGTAAAAACAAAATTTACCTCACAGAATATCATTATAAAAATACAAGTATTAATTTGTGAAAGCGCAAAAAATACTTCTTCCTCGCTCCGTACCAGCAACTGCAAAGCTCTAGGGCAAAAACAATGAAAAATCCATTTGCTTCTTCTTAAAGTCTTTAATAACTTTCCCATTCAAACTTCTCCAACAAGTCACCCAAGAAACTTATCTGGAACAACACGATAAAACGTTTCTTGCCCCGTAAAATTTATAACTACTTTTGAATTAACATTAGGTTAACGGCTACCGCACAGTACGCGCATTTTCACTTAAGGCCACAACT